TTTCCCTACTCTCTGTCTAAAATCAGTGGAAAAAATATCCTGGGGTGAGGATTTAAAAACAAACAAACAAAAAAACTAAACAGTTGGGCCACCCTTGAGGATGGGAATCTCAACAGACAGAGCTCATGGAAATATTTTGACTAGTGAATGACTGAGCTCCAACTGCCTTCTGTCCTTGTATGTCTTTTTTTTTTTTTTTTAAATATATCTTTATTGATTTCAGAGAGAGGAAGTGGGAGAGAGAGATAGAAACATCAATGATGAGAGATTGATGGGCTGCCTCCTGCACTTCCCCTACTGGGGATCGAGCCCACAACCCAGGCATGTGCCCTCACCGGGAATCGAACCCTGATCTAGCTCCTAGGTCGATGCTCAACCGCTGAGCCACACCCAGCAGGCTGTCCTTGTATGTCTTATTCAAGATTCAGATTTCTCTAAGAAGAGATCTGGTTGCTTTCACTATTGTGAGGGTAGAGAATGGAGTATTGCAATTGGCAACCCCACTGGACTATACGAAATATCTGAGAGTCAGTTTCCCAAAAGAAAGGAGCTGAGAAGAGAAGTGATGCTGGGCAGAGAAAACCAGTAGTTGTTTGATAGAGCTATGTAGTTTTTGTAGAGGGCTTAGTATGGGCCAGGCACCATGGTACCTAACTTATATAGATTTTTATATTTAATCCTTACAGCACCTCTAGAGATAGAAACTACTATAATCATACCCATTTTACAGAGGGGGAAACAGGCTTATAGAAATAAAATATTTGCTTAATGTTACAAAGCTCAGATGTAGTAGAGTTCAGTACATTACCTTGCTTCTTTAAGTTATTTCCTGATCCATGTGCCACTTTTGTTTGTTCATAGGGGGTCGTCAAGCTTTGGTGTATGTGTTGGCCAGTTCTGAAGTCTCCTTAAAGGGGCACTGCATTGAAGAAGATCAAAGCAGCAGTCTTTGCCAATTAAGGAATGGACCGTTTGGGTTCCTTTAGCAGTAAGTACTGTGTGAACAAGTCTCAGGTGAATATTAATAGAAAATTGAAGTGCAAGTTGATCAAAGAAGTAAAATAAGGTCTTTGAACTTAAACAGAGCCCTGTGAATTTGATTTAAAGGAGAAGGAGTATCAACTTAAAATAAAATCAGTATTTATTGATTGCCCACTGAACACATAACACAAACATATCAACCCTAGATCTTTTGAGAAAATAAGGTCAGATGGACCAGTCATAGTATGATTAAGCTGCATTTAGATTTTAAAAAGCAGATGGATTTCTCATTAGAACCAATGACATTTTTGTGATGCCTTGATAAGAGATAATGTTAGTGGTAGAATAAAGGAAATACCCTTCTCCCCCTTTTAGGTAGAACTTGTGTTCTAAGAGTAAACTACAGTATAATGATAATGCAGAGAACTATGGTGTATGTGTAAAATAATTTCAGGCAGCCTCACTATGCAAAAAAAATACATACTGCTTTTTCTCTGGTTCTGAAGATAAGAGATTTGGCAGAAATAGAAATCCACTGTCAGATGTTAGTAGTGACCCAATGAGGAGACTCAGGAAGGTACTTTTTGGGTGTTGTTTTCTCTATAGCAGTTTCTTAAAGGAGGTCTAATTTACTCTCTCATCACACTCTATATAAATTTAGTACAGAATGGAGTCTTTAAACACGTCAGTTCAAACCTCTCATTTTGCACATTGAAAAAGGACCTAAAAGAATTGTCCCAATGCTGGGAGTGAAAACTGAAACTACTCCCTCCCCATGATTTCAAAGAAATAAAAACAGTAACGCCCTAACTGTAATACAAAGGCCAAATAAAAGAGAAATAATTTATAACAAAATAATGCAATTTATAAAATAATATGTATCTCAATGTGTTTAGACACGTTACAGTGGAAGACATAATGATCTAGGTAGTCAGATGCTTGCACGCATATGTTGAATCACAGCATCTTATAACTACACATGCACAATGAATGATTCATGTGTGATGTATTGGTGACTCAGAAATACCACAGGCTTGAATAACTCTTGGTAAAATTCTGAGCAAAACAAGATACAGTCTCCTCTAGAAGTACGTGCAGTTGCTTTCCTGGAAAATTCAATATATATTAAAACTATCACATATTGTTTTATGTGTAATATGGAATTGGGTTCTAGGTCATGTACTTATGGACAGGTGTGTTTTTTTAACCTACTTGACTGTCTGGTGGGACATTTGAAAGTTGTGCAGAATACAGGCCAATTCTTTGTTGTGGAGGAATGTCTTGACCATTCAGGGCAACTAGCATCTTTGGTCTCTTCCTGCTAAATGCCAGTAGTGCTCCCTAGTCCTTGTGGCAACAAAAAAGCATCTCAGATTTCCAAAATGCCTTCCTAGAGGGTAGGTGAAAACCATTAGGTTAGATAATTGATACAATGGAATATTATTCATCCATTAAAAAGAATGAAGAAGCCCTCGCTGGTGTGGCTCAGTTGGTTGGGTGTCACCCCATGCACCAAGAGGTCACTGGGTACATGCCTACTTTGCGGGCTCGATCCCCAGTAGGGGTCATTTAGGAGGCAGCCCATTGATGCTTGTCTCTCATCAATGTTTCTCTCCCTCTCCCTTCCTCTCTCACAAACCAATAAAAACATGTTTTGAAAAAAAGAATGAGGAAGATCTATGTGTATGGTCATGAAAGGTGTTGACAATATGTTGTCAAGTGAAAAAAACAGGCTACAAAACATCATGTATAGTATCCTACTTTTGTTAAAATAAATACACACTGATACATAGGAGAAAGGTTGGAATTCAAAATGTTAATAGAGGATGACATATTTTTATTGTCTAAAAAATTTTAAACTACATATTGAATTGCTGTTACAAAATAATTACTTCTTGACATAAGGGTTTTAAAGCTCTTTACTTTGGTCAGTGGCCAATTTTTTTTCTGAGGGATGTTTGAGGAAAGAAAAACAAGCTCATATCATTAATATAAATGGATGATAAGAAGAAGGTAATTTGGTAAAAACTGGCACTTGGCACTTAACATAGAATAATTTTTGTTCTTCTTGTGTCAGAATTTTAAATGGGCAAAGTGGGGTAGTTGCTGTTCCTTATATTTATTTTGAAGCTATTGCCAGAAGGATTACATTTCTTTCCCATCGTCTTCCTCTTGGTCTTTGTTTAGAAACAAATGAAAAGAACAGTAATGGTCACTTTCAGGAGGGAAAGGTGCCTTGAAGAGTCTCAGATTTTAGGAAAGAAAATGCTGTTACAGAATGTGAGAAATCCTGCCCCAGGCTAAACAGGTTAAGTCCCTTCATCTACCTTCAAAGCCTATGTTTTCTTAGACTCCTACCATTGATCACAGAGAACTATTCTGTGACGGTGCCCTGACTCTAGAGAGGCAGAGTTTGGGGCATCCAGGGACACACATGTCTGCATTTTTATGACTAAGTTTGGTTAGTTATGGGTGTTATGAAACTTCCAGTTAAAACTTGTTTTTGTAAATTTCTTTGCAGGGGGCATATCTACTTAGATGTTGTTTGAAGTAGTAGGTACACTGCAGGGAGGAACAAAGCTGCCTTGAAATAAAAAGGAACATAATTTTTGTTTTTTCTTATTTGGAATGAGCTCATCTCTTCTCCATGAACTTTTCAGCACAGCTCACTACCTGTGTAGTCATTTGCAGATTTTCACCCTCTTGCTCTTAAGATAATCATAAGGTGTTTTGAAGCTAGTATATTTTTCTTTTTGTTCTAGGTGATCCCTCTGATAAGCCACCTTGCCGAGGCTGCTCCTCCTACCTCATGGAGCCTTATATCAAGTGTGCAGAATGTGGGCCACCTCCCTTTTTCCTCTGCTTACAGGTAACTCATTAAGGAGAGGCCTGCTTCTCCTAGGCTCGTTTTGTAGATATAATAAATTCAGAGATGACTATCGATTGCTCAGAAGGACCATAACTTATTAAACCTGTTCCATGCAGTCAATCTTCCAGTCTACATTTTACCAGTGAAAAGCTGGGGAACAGAATGGGTAGATGAGATAGACTGTTGAATACAAGCATATCTCAGAGCTATTGTGGGTTTGGTTCTAGACCCCATAATAAAGCTAGTTTCACAATAAAGCGAGTCATAATCTTTTTGCTAGTGGAGGGTCTTGACTTTAATTTGTAAAAAAAAAAAACAACATCCATAAAGTGCAATAAAATGAAGCACATCTGTGTATCAACTTAATGCTTAATACTGTTTTTGCCAGTAGTGTTATATATTAGACTACAGGAGCAGAATAGGAGAGTTATTCCTTTCCATAGCACCTGTGACATAATGTTTATTGTCTTACTGAAGAGCAGTCTTTGGGCAGGTGACAAACAAGGGAACAAACCATTTTGTGGATGATGGTGAAAATAATACTAATTCTTAGCACTTACTCTTTGCCAGTACTATTTTAAGTACTATACATGAATTAATTCTTAAATCATCACTACAACCCAATAAAGTAAGTATTATTAGTATCCTCATTTTGTAAGAGAAACTCAGGCAAAGAGAAGGTTAAGTAATTTGCTCAAGGTCACACAACAAGTACCATATTTTATTGGATCTAAGACACTTGATTATAAGCAGCATCCCAGTTTCAGAAATGTAAAAATGGCTGATGGAAGTTATAATATACTTTGTATTATAAGATGAATCCTCATTTCAGAGTTTTAAAATATGAAAAAAAATATGTTGTAGAATTGCTGAAATAGGTAAGCATGGAGCCAGAATTCAAATATAGGCAGGCTGAGTCCAGGGCTTATGCTCTTATCAAAGGAGTTGTTGTCCTAGGAAAATGTCTTTTTTTCCAGATTGTTTATTCTCTGTGAAGGCCACAGAAAAGCTGTGATCATGAGTGTAACCATCCTATCGTGGATGCAGACAAGATTAAATGAAATCTTAAAAACTTATCACGAGAGGAGCTGGGTCACTGTGGCTTGGTTAGGCATCGTCCCATGCACCATGAGGTTGCTGGTTTGATTCCCCCTCAGGACACGTGCCCCGGCTGCAGGCTCCATCCCTAGTAGGGGGCGTGCAGGAGGCAGCCAATCGATGATTCTCTTTCATTGATGTTTTCTCTCTCTCCCTCTCCTTCTCTCTATAAAATCAATGAAAACATATTTTTAAAAAACTTATCACAAGAGTAGACTATCCCCAAACTACTTTCTGTCCTTTTTTTTTCTTCTTTTTTCTTTTTTATTGATTTTAGAGAAAGAGGAAAGGGGAGGGAGGGAGAGAGAGAAACATCAATGTGAGAATGAAACACCCATTGTCCGCCTCCCACATGCGTCCCACCAGGGATCGAGCCCAAAACCTGGGCATGTGTCCTGACCGGGAATCAAACCAGCAACCTTTTGGTGCACGGGGCAATGCCCAACCAACTGCGCCACACTGGCCAGGGCACTATCTTCTATCCTTTAAGAAAGCATTTCAGAAAGTAGCTTTTTGGTAACTTAATTTTCCTCTTTTTTGCAGTGTTTCACTCGAGGGTTTGAGTACAAGAAGCATCAAAGCGATCATACTTATGAAATAATGGTAATGATAAAGTTGCAGGGAATTTCTGTTAATTTTTCAAGTCTTACATGGGAATTGGTCTTTTTTTCCCCTTCACCTCCAAGGATCTCTTTCCCTTTCCTTTCCTCCTCTTTTGAACCAGATAATCATTACCCAGTAAGTTTTTTAGAGTCTTATGGATCTACTGAGGCATGTTAAGTCCAAAAATCATTTTTATATACTCAGGGTTTTGTTTCACATTTAGAATTTAAAGGAAGCACTTTTTAGGTTCATTGATAAACATATAGTAGATGTGTTATTGATGTGTTTTAATTAATGGTATTTTTATATGGCTCCTGGGGGTAATGGTGATGTTTATTTTCTGGTATTCCCCCTTCCATGGGGAAGTTAGTTACCTTTTCAGAGTTAAGTTTTAAATGAAGATAGAGTGAATGAGACAATACATAAAATCACTTTGAAGAGACAGTGGTTTATAGGCCAGAGTAAGACTTGGCTGCAATTTTGATTAATTGTATTACCACCTCTTAAAGAAGGAATTAGAGGCAGATGTTGGTAGTGTACTTCTAAGGTCTAGCCAGAGGACTGGGCACTTTAATAAGCCAAAGTAAATATCTGGTCTGCTTGGTAGGTATAAATACCTTTGTCAAGATAGTTTTGTGTGTTATCGGAGCATAACTCGTAGTTCACCATGTAGTTTTTCTTTCAAGAAAGAGGGCTGGCTGGGGCATCTACTTGACAGTAATAATGCCTCCCTCTTCTGTTAGGGGCCCATGTGATTACATTGGGCACATTTGGATAATGCAGGATGCTCTTCCTGTTCTAAGGTTATAGATTAGTACATGAGTCCCATCAGCACAGTCCATTCACATGAGTATGTATTTGGTGTTTGAATAATCAGGGGGCAGGAATCCTGGGGATGAAAGGAGTCATCTTTGAAATTATGCCTACCACAGCGCTATAATATATCCACCTCGATCTCTTAAAAGTTCAGAAAAGGTGAATCAGCATCTCTGAGTCTGATTACTTGTGGAGTCCTGGTAAGGTGAATTTCTGGGACTGCAATACTGAGAGTCAGATCCTGGTCCATAATGAATTAATCAAAAAATGTTCTTTAGTAAGAGTTCTTGGCAGCCAACTGGCTAGCCTTTACCTCTCTCTAAATACTTTGTCTTCTGACCACTTTTTTCACTAATTATATGACTTGGAATACATTTTTTTATATTAGACTTTGTTTTTTAGAGCAGTTATAGGCTCATAGCAAAACTCAGTAGGAAGTACAGCTTTCCCATATATTCCCTGCCCCCACAGACACTTAGACTCCCTGTTGTCAGCGTCACCACCACATTTGTTACAATTTTTTAACCTACATTGATATTTCATTATCACCCAAAGTCCATGTTTGCATTAGTGTTCACGCTTGGTGGTGTCCATTTGGAAGGTTTGTACATATGTATGTCATGTGTCCACCCTTATGGTATCATACAGAATAGTTTCACAGCCCTAAAAATGCTCAGTGCTCCCCCTATTCATCCATACTCCCCTGCAATCACTCATCTTTTTATGATCTCCATAGTTTTTTCCGGAATGTCTTATAGTTGGAATCATACAGGATGTAGCTTTTTCATATTAGCTTCTTTCACTTAGTAATGTATTTAAGTTTCCCCCATGTCTTCTTATGGCTCGATAGCTCATCTCTTTTTAGTGCTGAATAATACTCCATTGTCTGGATGTACCACAATTTATTTATCTATTCACCTACTGAGGAACACCTCAGCTGCTTCCAAGGTTTGGCCATTATGAATAAAGCTGCTTATAAACATCCACGCGCCAGTTTTTGTGTGGACATGTTTTCAGCTCCTTTGGGTAAACACCGAGGAACTTGGCTGCTGGCTCACGTGGTGAGAGCATGTTTAGTTTTGTAAGACACTGCCAAGCTGTCTTCCAAAGTGGCTGCACCATCCTGTCTTCCCACCAGCAATGAAGGAGTGTTCCTGTTGCTCCACATCCTCAGCAGCATTTGGTGGTGTCTGCTCTGGATTAATGGCCATTCTAATAGGTGTATAGTGGTAACTCATTTTAATTGGCATCTCCCTGATAACACAGGACGTGGAATACCTTTTCATATCAGTAAATTTTCTCCCTTTTGTCAATTGCAAAGTGAATGAAGTGTGGCCGGAATAGCTATGGCTTTGAGTACATTTCATCAAGGTTATCAGATCTTCAGAAAGCTGGTTTATTTTTCCCACATTCGCCTAGAGCCAGAATACACATTTACTCATTTGAATTGTGAAAATAATTCCTTAAAGCATAATTGAGTATAAGTGGAGTAGATGGATGGTTACCTGCTGTAAGGAAGCTGACCATGAGCTCTCTAGCTGTTCTGGGCACAGTGCCTTCTGCGTAATGCTGAAGGTGCGAAGTTTCACTCTAAGTCCACTTGCTTCTGATTGCATCATCCTTTCTCACATGTTCAGCACCCATACGAACACATTTAAGAAGTCTGTCTTTTTCTTTGAGGAGCTTTTGGAAGTTACTAATACTCCCTCTTTTTCTACCAGTCTTACCTATTCCCAGATAAGGGAAAGAAGAACCTTTCCTTCAGTAGGAGTAATGACCAAATGTTGGCTTTCTACACAGGGAGTCACTAAAAACTTGATCTTTTGTGTGTGTGTTTTTTTAATTTTTGGCATGTGAAGCCTCAGAAAACTTTAAATGGTTTTCAGTACTTTTGTCACTTCACAGTGCTGTATTTTTGGAAGTTACTCATGCTGTGGTGGGTGTCGCGTTAAGATTTCTGAGTTCTGTGCCTATTTTTGTCCTATGATTCTTAGAACCTTGAACAAGTCAAGGCACCACTTTCTACCACACCCTTTATACCAGTGATTCTTGAACTTTAGTGGAGAAGGATCATCTGGAACGTCTTAAAAATGTAAATTCCTAAGCCCTGCTGTTAGAGATTCTGGTTCAATAGGGCTGAGATTGGGTCCAGGAATTAAATAATGTTGATAAATAATGTTTCTTAATAATGTTAAGAAAACTGTACTATGTCCATCTACTTATTTTTGGTGTAGAAAGTCTTTCTCATTTACCTCACAGTAAAGTTGGTGAAGGCTAATTAATATTCTGAAATACAGTTTTAGAAATAACAAAGGCTCTTAGACTAAGAGTTGTCATATTTACATGTACTTATGGCACTTGCCAGATTGAGTGATTATATAAATTTAATAGAGACATAGACTAGACCCTGAAATTTCTTTTTGGTCTCATAGAACCTCACGTGCTAAGCATATTTATAGTAAGTGCTCAGATATTGCTTAGTAGTGTGATTTCACAAGTCACCGCAGTATTTTTGTCATTAACAAAAGATGTAACCATTTCTAAATGCCTGTGTAATCTGAAGACCTCTTGTGTCACTTTTTTTAAAGCTTACTATAAAAAATTTTAAAGGTATACTAAAATAGAGAAAATGGTTTTTCGGTGATCTGTTGCTACCTAACAGCTACCACAAAACTCTGTGGCTTAAAATGACAGCCATGTTATCCCCCACAGTTTTGACGATCAGGAATTCAGGTCGGGCATGGTGAGAGTAACTTTCAGTTCCACCTAATGTGCTGGGGCTGGAAGTCCAAGGGGCTCTTTTCACACACTCTGGCCCCGCAGGAGGATGGCTCATTTGGTTGGGAGTTAGCTAGAACGTACCCTCCTGAGGCCTAGATTCCTCGTTAGTAGTTTGGGGCCTGTCCCCCTCCATGTGATCTTTCTACACGGTCTTTCCAGCAAGGAGGCTAAATTTCTTAAGCGGTGGCTCAGGAATCCCAAGAGCACAAACATGGAAGCTGCTAGACCTTCTTAACCAAGTCACAGGTCCAAGTTGTAGCAAATAAGAAGAGACCACACAAGGATGTGAATTCCAGAGGTTCATTGAGAGCCACCATTGTAACTAGCTACCATACATAGTATAATAAATTCCCACATACCTGTCACTAGCTCTTAAAATGATCAACTTATGGCCTATTTTATTTCATTTAAACCCCCACCCTTCAGATTACTTTGTAGCAAATTTCCCAGACATTGTATCATTTTAGCTATAAATGCTTTATTAGATCTCTCTAAAATTTAAAAGTAATTCAAGTCACTTTTCACTAAAAGCTTTTTAAAAAATCTGCTCCGTTCTCCACCTCTGAAACAATCACTGTTCTGATTTTTATCATCATAGATCAGTTTTGCATATTCTGCTCCATATAAATGGATTGATATTGTATGTATTTCTGTTTCTGGTTTCTTTCACTCAGCTTGTTTTTGAGATTTGTTCATGTTGTATTCCTTTTTGTTATTGAGTAATATTCCATGGTAAGACTGTAGCAGTTTGTTGATCCATTCTGTTAATGGACACCTACCTGAGCTTTGCCTAGTTTTTAGCTATTATGAATAAAACTGCTATGAATATTCTTGGTTAAGGCTTTCTCTGAATATATATTTTTCTTAGCTAAATACTTAGGAATGAAGTATTACCGGGTCATAGAATAAATTATTAACTTTTAAGAAACTCAAAAAGTTTCCTAAAGTGGTTGTGTCATTTTACACCTCTACCAGCAATGTCTGAGAGTTCTGATTGCTCCACATGCTTGTCAGCTTTTGATGTTGTCAGTTTCTTTACTTTAGCTACTCTTGTGGTATCATGAGTATGTAGTGGTATCATAAAAATTTTTTTTCAACTTTTACAATTTGTTCTAATTGGGATACAAATAAGGCCCATACATTCCAATTGGTTGCCTTATATATTTTCTATTCTGTGGATTTTTCTCCTCCCCAATCCTCCCTCTCTCATTTCTTACAGTTTTTTGATTTTTTAAAAACTGGGTTGTTTGTCTTAATAGATGTTAATACAGGCTAGATTTTGCTGACTAATGTGTTCCTTTGTTTTCTGTGTTTTCTAAAATTTGGTATTTAGATATAGTGGCTACATTAGATTCATTTATGATTATTGTCTAGATCTATAAATTTATTGGGAGGGATTGCAAAGTAGTTACCTTTTAATTCTATCACTCCTTTTGAGTTAAATTCTATACAAAGATAGTCTATCATTATCTATGTGATCACCCTTAGGTAAAGTTTGTACAGGAAAGGCAAGATAAATACTTAATTATCCCCCCCCCCTTTTTTAAATACTGGTTTTGAAATATGAGTTGGTTTCCTGGCACCTTTAGATATTTATAATAACTTTATGTGTTCCAATCCTTTGCAGTTGATACCCTTATTCATGCTCAAAATGTTCCATTTTTGGTTAGTGGGAGCCTCTACAAGTTAGTCTTTGAATCCTTTTGACAGGGCACTTAAGTCTTTGAGAGCGTCTTTGCTCTCCAGTATGACAAAATGTTCCAGTGTCATCTTGTACATTTCCTGACACAAAGCTGGAATCAGCTTTTTCTTTAAGGAGCCTTAGTTCCTTGAGTGGAAAACAGTATTTAGAGACTGCATACTAAGGAATAGAAGTACGCATTGCTAATGGTTTGGTCATTGTTTCTAGGCCTTTTCAGTAAAAAGTGTTAGGAAATTATTCCTTTAAGACAAAATACATTTTGAGTTTATCCTAAAACTTTGAATTCCAATATAAGACTACAAAGTTTTACATAACCTCATAGATCTTATATCTATATCTCCCCCCCCCCAAGTCAAAACTCCCACTGCCCAGTGAGGCCAACGCAGTTATTTATTTGCTTTATCCCGTAACACGTCCACGTACAAAAATCTCAGAATATACCAACACTATTGAAAACAGTTTAAGGATTATTTTGTCAGTTTCTTTTACTTTTAAGGTATATTCTACAGATGTACAAATTATATTTTAAAGTCAATTGATATATTTTCTTCTTAGTGATTATGCCTTAAAATTGATTCATATGTTTGTTAAATTTTGCTTTTAATTCTTATGATTTTTAAAATTTAATAATTACATACAGTATTTATGATTTCAAAGTCAAATCTGCAAAACAAGGACTATTCAGAGAGGTCTAGCGTCTATCCCTGTCCTTTGCACTGTTTTCTCCCTCCCTTCCCCATAGGTAACCTTTTCTTTTAAATGTATAGTTTATTCTTCCATTAAAAATATGTATATACACATATGTGTAGTCCCCTCTTTCTTAGCTAAGTGGGAGCATACTATAATATTGATCTCTATCTTTGTGCTCAGTTTAAAAATGTCTATATTTCTGCATGGGTTACATGGCACTTATGGGTAATAATATTTATTGGAGACCCTTGATGGTGGAAATAGGAGTAAGGGCGGCAGACCACCATGAGAATAGTTAGTGAAATGGAATAGGTACTGAAAAAGACATAAGTTACTATTACAGTTGAGGTTGCTCAATTCCATTTCTGTATCTAAGGCAAAACCTTTTGTTTCTTAGACCTCAGATTTTCCTGTTCTTGACCCCAGCTGGACTGCTCAAGAAGAAATGGCCCTTTTGGAAGCTGTGATGGACTGTGGCTTTGGAAATTGGTAAGAGCTTGGTGTTAGGTTGTCCTGCCCTAGTGGGCTCAGAGGAGAAGTGCTCTTGAAGGGTAAAAACAAACCTTGCTTTTATCATTATGTATAGTTGAAAGCACTACTCCCTTTCTTTTCCTCACATTCCTCTAGGCAGGATGTAGCCAATCAGATGTGTACCAAGACCAAGGAGGAGTGTGAAAAGCACTACATGAAGCATTTCATCAACAACCCTCTGTTTGCATCAACCCTGCTGAACCTAAAGCAAGCAGAGGAGGCAAAAACTGCTGACACAGCCATTCCGTTTTACTGTAAGTGCCTCCCTTGTTTAAAGAGATACTTAGGTCATCTTTGGGCCCTGTTGCATAGCAGATAAATAATGGTTTGATGACTTGGACAGCTAACAAGTTTACGAAAGATAGGAGGAGTTGGCATGGCCATTATTGAGAGTTAGCACCATAATGGGGCAAGGAGGGAACATCTCCCAGAGGTCAGAGTTCTGTACTGGATGTCAGGGTGCCTGGATCCAATGTGTAGTTACTCCTGAGACTTCTAAACATATTAGTTAACTTTAATGCTTGCTTATGTGAGGTGAGATGTGCAGAAAGAGCCAACCTTCCCATGCTATTGTGAACACAACGCTTTTTACAATCCCTTTGGAGAGTATGATTGTAGATATTAGTTACTAAGGAAGTTCAGTATTTGGCTCTTTTATCATTAATTATTAATCATCCCAGTATTAAGTCCAAGAAGCAATTTGTTATCTTTGTTCACTTAGTTGTGGCAGTAATAGCACACTTTTTTTTTTTAATCTCATGTGGCTGAGGGACCCATGAGTCTTCTAACAAAACATAACCAAAACCATGATGCATTATAAATGGACATCTTTTCTCAATGACTCCCAGAGCACAAGTAATGAAATATGAATGTTTTCCCTTCCTCCCCCCTTTCCTCATACTCTCTAGAAACAGTTTCATAGCTGACTGACTCAGAGTCTGATGCTACCTCCTGTTTGGATAGTACTTTGGATGTTAGTGCTCTGTTCCCAAATTCCTTAGACCATTTGTTCCTCATAGAAATCCAGTGAGCTAGGCAGAACAAATGCTTCTGTCTTACACATGAGGAAACAGATTCAGAAAGGTTAAGTAACTTGTGCAAGGTCAAGTGGATGTTAAGGGACTAGTGAATGTTAGAGCTGGGACTCAATTCCAGCTAATGTCCAGATCCAATGGGGTATTTTTGTTTCTCAGTTGGATGAGATTTATAAATTGAGATTGGTCCTGGAGCATAAGGATGCTGATGGAAACAGGGTAGATACCTACGTTCTATAATATTAAAGAAAAGATCCTTGGTTTTTTTCGCACGTTAAAGGCAAAAAACAGAGCAAATTTTTCTATATTTACTTCAAGGATTCCTTAAGTCTTAATTTCCTTTTAAAGAGATCAAGTCTGTTTCCATAATATTTTTTTCACTTTCACTTTATAAAAATCTTCAAGTTTATTTATTCTCTCAGACACTGTCTTTCTCCAAACAAACATATTTCAGAGTGTAAATGAGGACTATTTGTGTAAAGGCCAGTATATTTTATAAAGTAAGTAAGAAAAACTCTAAATTCTTCCAGCTGCAGATGACCCTCCCCGACCTACCTTTGATTCTTTGCTTTCTCGGGACATGGCAGGATACATGCCAGCTCGAGCAGATTTCATTGAGGTAGGAGAAACTTGCTTTTGTTTCTGATGAAGCTTATATCTCTTACCCATACCACTAAAAAAAGATTTTCAAAGCACTGTAATTTGTAGGGCCTTATGCAGCCACATTTTCTTCTATTTGAGTGCCCTTTCTCATTTGTATACATTCCCATATGTAGAACAGTGATCTGGGCATGGCTAGTTCCTTCAGACCAGGAACCTGTTTCTTAAGTTTCATTGGGGCTGGCTCCTACTTTCTTAGCAAGTGCAGGGCTTCTATAGACTGGTTCTCATTCCACACCTAGGGGGTTTCTAGGTTATACTATACCAGGGGTTGGCAAACTTTTTCTGTTAAGGGCCAGATGGTAAATATTGGGTTTTATAAACCAGAAAATATCTTTTGCAACTGAACTTTGCCACTATTGTTGCAAAAGCAGCATTGATAATATGTAAACAAATGAGCATGCCTGTGCCCCGGTAAACTTTGTTTACAGAAACAGGCAGTGGGCTGGATTTGGCCCATAGGCTGTAGTTTGCTGACCCCTGTACTGTATTTATAAGATAAAGAATGACAAATGTATATATATATAAAAACTACGTATTCCTTCTTCAGCTATGGAGTTAAAAGCCTTTTGATTGTAGTCACAAGTCTCTTATCATCTAATTCACAATTACAGTGCTCCTGGAGGTCAGATGAAAGTTTAGCGAGCTACAAACAATTTTGCTAGCCATGCCCAGGTCAGCGTTTTTTTCATAGCAAGTGATATTTTGTAGAGCTACCCCATAGACACTGCCCCTATGAATTGTACTCATTGAATAGAATATAAACAGATCTACCCACTGAGCTATATAAGCAATATTACTGAATAAATAGAGCCCTTAAAAGGTAGTAAAAGTAGATAAATTTAATGCAGACAATTTTCATACCTGAAGATCGAGTCAGAGTTAGATTTTCTGGGGTTACCTTTGATGAACAGACTACTTTTAATTTTTAGAACAATAGCATTGGCTTTATTCTTGAACTCATGACTGTTCTCATTTTTGCTGTCACTACTGCCTGAAAGCCTCTCAGATTTTCCCCATGGCTGCTTCTTATTGTGGCAGTAACCTGGCCTTGTGTTCCATTCAGTACTTTTTAATGAGGGTTTGCCTATATATTTTCTGCTTGTTTCTAATGAATGGCTACTGTAAAAGGTATTACTCAAAGCTGGTAAGTTTGGGGTGGTAATTTTTTTTCCCCCAAACAGGAGTTTGACAATTACGCAGAGTGGGACCTGAGAGACATCGATTTTGTTGAAGATGACTCGGACATTTTACATGGTAACATTTTCTTTCAACAAATGTCTTTATTGATTGCAAACTATGTGATGACACTATGTTGGGGTCTAGGAATATATGGATAAATAAAACATGTCCTCTACCCTTAAGGGGACTCAGAATCTAGTGATTAAGTTGCTGAACTTACCCCGTTGTTGGGTTTTGACCACAATGAGAAAGGTCACTTGTGCTGATGGTGAGACTGTTGAGTATATGATGGTAGTTGGGAATATCCCATTCCTTGGACTGTGTGATCTTTCTCTTGACTGAGGTGAGCCTACACTGAGGTAATTGGCTAACTGGCCCGCACTGCCTCCTTAAAAGGAAGGGAGTCAGTGTGAAGACCTTGGGACTTCAGTAGCAACTGCTGATAGCTAGATGTTCACTATCATTTGTTAACCCAAATTTCCCATAGCAGAGGAAAAGAATGGAAGTTCTTTGAGGATTTTTTAAACTAATTAGGAATTCCTCGTTTCTCAGAACTGTTGAATTTGTAGCATTTCTGAATTCTCATATAATTTTAGCCCTCTAAGGATTTATATGTTATAACCTAAATGATTAATGTCAGTAGGGCTCTTAAAAGTGGATGGTTGCCCTGGCTGGTGCGGATCAGTTGGTTGAGCATCGGCCCATGCACCAAAGTCACAGTTTTGATTCCCAGCCTGGCACTTGCCCGGGGTTGTGGGCTTGATCCCCAGTAGGGGGCATGCAGGACGCAGCCTATTGATGTTTCTTTCTCTCTCCTTCTGCCTTCCTCTCTCTCTGAAAATCAGAAAAAACGTGTGTTTTTTTAAAGTGGATGATTAGACTTTTGTTGAATCTCTTTTCCCTTCTTTTTGTTTTCAGTGAACTACATATTTAAAATATTCCCCCATTTTCTCTTTCATTTCAGTCCAGAATCGACTATGATGCAGTATGAATAATGCTCCTTTGGATTCTATATTTCCCAAACAGCATCTTCATTGTTTTTCTTAAATCTATATTCCAGGCAGGAAAGGCAAGTAGAATCCTTGTTGAATTATACATAAATCCAGTTTTCATGTGGCATTACCTGCTACTCTGTCATTAGAAGGGGAATTCGAGTCTTCTCTCCATAGAAGAGCTGCCTAGGTGTTTGTTACAGCAGCTCTAGGACAGAGAAAGAGTCCTCATAAAAATTTTATCTCTACATATTTCTTAAGCAGTTTTCTTTTCAAAATTTCATTTCTCTTCTCCCACACAACTTTAAGCAAAGTCAGAGTGACGCAGATTTAACTAAATTGGGAAAGCTTGAAAGCAAACTGCTTTAGCATTCACTAGATTCATTGTGTTTGTTCAGTCGTCACGTCAGTCTCTTCTTTTCAACCCCGGGTTACTCATGTTATTGTCTTTTCTCTCCCATGTTGTTCCGTGAAAGGTAGTGTGTGGATTGCCATTCAGAATTTCTTCTCATATATACCAGCTTTAATTAAAATGGTATTGTGTCCTGACTTGTATCTTTCCTTTCCAGAATGCAAAATAAAAAGAAGCAACTTAATAAATATAATCCTTTTAGATACTGTTCAAAAGTACCGGACTTTGAAAGTCAGCATGTCAATAATGGGTAAACTATGTAAGAGACTTGCTGAATCACTTCTCTAGGCCCTAATCCAAGGCCTCCATTCTTAAGCCTCAACATTATTAAGAAAACTGTAGTAATGGTTGGTGTTTAATTTCACTGTTCATTCTTCGTAGAAGCAGGCTCTGTAATTTGTTCTAGTGCACTTGTGCTACTTTCTGTAATTAAGTGGGAGCGAAAGGAGCAACTGATTGACTAACAATTTTTATTTCAGTTAGCATTTCAAACCTATAACATACTTTATTTGTGCTTTTCCTACAGTTTCTACAGCCTTGCTAGTCACTGGATTCTAGTTCATTTGAACTAGACCCAAAGCATCAGTTGTTGATTGTTATGCTTAAGTAGCTTTAACAGAGCAGTAATAACCCCTGCTTCCCTTTCCTTCCCTGTCTGGTAGTGGACTGTAGGATGTTGAAATGGGTGCTTTTTAAAAGGCGATAACATTTTTTTCCTTCATTTTATTTGTTCCCCATCGCATTTATCCCTCCAGACCCTCTTCCACCTGCACACACCCCTCCCCCCCCAGCAATCACCAAAAAGGTGATAACATTTTCAAGAGGTTCTGTAGCACTAGAGGGAAAGTTGCTGGTGCATAAAAGGATGCTTTGCTATGGCTCTGAGTTTTAGCTCCTGTGGCAGCATGACCCACTGTCCCATGGGGCATATTGCCCCTGAGCTGAGCAGTTTCTCCCAGAGCACTCACCGAAAGGGAACTAGGAGCCCGAGGAGACTCAGGGAGGAACGAGAAGGAACACACCTAGAGCAGACAGAGGGACACATATTTTGGGCAAATCAGAACACTGATTCAACCTCGGGCTTCCTTCTGAGTCACCGTGTGATCTTGGGCAAGTCCTTAGAATCTTGCTTACTGTTTTTTGTGTCCCCTGCCAAAAAAGGGGTGACACCAATTCGTCATAGAGTTTGAATGTCTCCAATGAAAGATGGTACATAATTCAGGATGATGTTATTACCATTCCATTATACCATTATACTCTTAATATTACTGAGCATTAACAACATTCCTTTTATGTTCCCTCACTTATAACTACTAGAAGGAAGCAAACTGTTTGGCTGGGCGTGGTTTTTTATATTCCATCCCAGGGCACCTAGAAGATCAATAGATGCTACCAAGCCCTTTTCCTTACCCAAAGACTTTTGCTATGATTCATGGAATTTGTCTCATAAAATGGGTTTGAATGGTCCATTATAGAAGCCTGAGACACGGTGGAGTGATAAATTGCATTCCAGCCATACCAGATGGGTTTTAGAATGGGCGCAAGGAAGATCCTACAAGCGAAGTAGTGTCTGAGGAAGAAAATAAGGAAGTTCTGGGTTCCCTGAATGGCACCTCCTTATATTTTATTGAGATAAGCAGAAATGATGGGTTCAGAGAGAGAGATGCAGAAGACTCATAACTTGGCACTCTACTGGGTCCTGCTGTCTGGGTGTGTTGTGGGAATTTCAGTGCAGACACACAGTGTAGTTTCCTTTTCCTGAGAACACTCCCCATCTGCTTTCTTCTGGGAAAATCTCTCCTAGACTTGTGGACTCCTCTTTCCCAGAGTTTCACAGGTCCTGAAACCCTCGGTGCAACTTCTAACCATCGCTGTCTCAAAACCCACGCAAGCAAGAGGCATTATAATTATAAGCTCTTTCCTTTGTGTTGTGTCTGTGTGTAGAAGGATAATTTCAGTAAAATTTCTTGGCCAGGCATGGATTTTCCCGCACTCCCTTCCTTTCCCCCTTGGCCAATATTGTCAGCCTTTAGATCCTATTGCAGTTAGTAGATCAGAGATCCCCTCTGGTCTCTGTGCACACTCGCCTTATGCAAGTGCCCTGTCCTTAATAGTGATTTCACTTTTTTATGCTTAGGACATTTTAGATTTAAGTGCTGTTAATAATAACTAATACATATATGTGAATTCACCTATGTGAGCTCAATCCTCACAAAACTCTATGAGTTGGGCATTATGATTATCTCCATTTTATAGATGAGGAAATTGAGGAATGGAAATATCAAGTAATTTGCCTGAGGTCATGTAACCTGCAAGTGACAGCCACCTCCAAAGTCTTTTATCTTAATACTGTACTAATTATCATTACAACCTTAAATTTTTGTTGCTGTGTGTGTTTTTAAGGGGGGTGAGGGCGGGGAATGACTTTTAAAAAGCTTTGGTTCTTGGGAATACCTGAGTCACAGATTTGTACTTGTGTGGTTGTAATGGGGATTTTGATTGGCTTTCCCGCAGTTAAGGCCTCTGACTTGATTTTCTTGCCAAACAAACACTAAGTGCCTTCTGTCAGGAAAACAGAAACATGTTGCTAGCTATTTTGAACAATGTTAGAAATACATTGCAGTGGGAAGGAGCTGCCTCTGACTTCTGCCCACTCCTTGAAATATTTTAAGGCCAGCCATTTGGAGACTGTTCCTCCCCCAAGGCTGAGATTTCAGAGGCCTTACCAGTGGATAGGTGGGGTTACGGGTGGTTTTGGTTTGTCTGTTTTTAATGATCTCTGGTTCTTTGTTTGTCCACGTTACTGGAACCTCCAGTCCCTGTCAGTAGAATGTGAACTGATGATTCTCATGCTTGCAGTGTCTGCCCTGTCATTTCTCTTATGCCTGCTGTGCTGTGGTCCTCCCTGAGTCACTCTGCGGTAAAGAGCTTATAATCAGTTGCTGCTACCTGAGTGTGCTTTATAAAGAAAAGAGACAGCTTCAAACATGATCTTTCTCTGGGAGAATTCCAGCTCTCCTTTCATTTGTTTCTATGTGTTTCTTTCCTTCCCTTTGTCACCCAGAGCTAGTTGTATATGTTTAAACTACTGAAATGATCAAGCCCATGAACCAGTTATCAGCAATATTTATAGAATTTTTTTTTTATAACACAGTCTCTTCAGCTTTTCTGTTTTAATTCATTCCCACACAAATCTCAGGAAGCATCATGGTAAGTTAGTGTCTGAGAAAAGTTATAAAAATATTCTGTCAAAATTAGCAGTGCTTTCCACTATATCATCAAGTAGTTTCTTTCCTATTGAACACATCTTATTGGGTGGTAAATGAGATAAGGCACATGAAGAGCCTGGGACATGATCAGTACCCAGTGTGTTTTAGCTGTTTACATAGCTCTCATATTTGCTTGTCTTTCTACCCCGAACTGTTGACTTCCTAATTCTATTTGTCATAAGAAACAGAATCCACTCTGAACCTTGTATGTGGCCACACTGCATGTCAGAGCCGCGTCCCCTCCCCTTTCTCCCCCCTCTTTGTGCCTCCAGCAGCACCGTGTTCTGAGCCTGTCCCTGGAGCTGGGC